AAGTTAAAGTAAATAGAATGGAAATTATACCACAAAACATTTATTTCCTTGCAAAGTAATCTGGATTTCCAGCATCAGATAGGTTGGATGTTCCTGAATCTGGGAGTTTGTGTTTTTTGACTGTAGTTGGTAGAAGCTAGGGAGCAAACACCAGGTTCCACTGGTGACCTCAAGTATTTTGTTGCTCACCTTTGTTACCATACAATGCATTTCCATTGGAAGACTGGTACAGGCAGTTTGAAAAGGTCACGTTTCCAGGGAGCCCTGGTTTTCCAGCTTCCTCAGCCTCCAGCTGTAATGTGTCACCAGATCACCAGGTGGTTAAGGCTGGAAGGAACTTTGGGAAGTCATCCTGTCCTGCCCCACTGCTCCTGTGCAAGCAGGGTCACCTAGAGCTGGTGGCTCAGGACTGGATCCAGATGGTGTCTGAGTGTCCCTAAGGATGGAGAACTCTGCAGCCTCTCTGGGTAACCTATGCTGGTACTTGGTCACCCACACAACAAAAAAGTTTTCATGATGATCACAAGGAATCTTCTGTGTTTGTGCCTGCTGTATCTGCTGTTGTCACTGGGCACCCCTGCAGAGGCTGGTTCCCTCTTCAGTACACCCTCCCTTTGGATTTTACATGTACTGATTTGATCCCTGCAGGGTTTCTCTAGGCTGGCTCTAGAGGCTCAGTCTGTCCTTCCTATGAGAGATGCTCCAGAGGGTTGTTAGTGGCCCTTCACTGGACTCTGTCTCCAGTGTGTTTGTGTCTCTCTTATACTGGGGAACCCAGAACTGGGCACAGTGCTCTACATGGCTTTCCAGTGCTGAGTAGAGCCCTTGGCCTGCTGGCAGCTCTTCCATATGCAGCCTAGGATACCATTAATCTTCCTTGTCTCAAGGGCCTGTTGGTTTGTCATCAGCTTGATGTCCAGCAAGAGCCTTGGGTTCTTTTCTGCCAAATGTGCTTTCCAGCCATTTGCCCCAGCAAGCATTAATGCATGGGGTTGTTCCTTCCCCCTGGGGATGGGATGTTGCACTTCTTTTGGAACTAGGTGTCTAGAAGGGGGCTGATAACATTTTGTATTAATTTACATGTTGATCAGAAAATAACAAGAATTGAGCTGTTTGCTCATTCTGGTTGAATGCTGTGGTAGGTTATTTGGAACAGGTTGTGCCTGTAAACTTGTAGGAGGGAGAGAGTGAGAAGTCTCTTCAGGACTGTTGCCAGCTTTACCTGTTTACAGGTGATAATGGCCATAGATTGCTGACAGTGGTTGTTTATTTGAATTGATGATTTTAATAGGGTAGAGAAACATTGTTAAAGGAAGGGGCTTGAGTGTATCTGATCCCACACTATGGAATAAAGGATCTCTCAATCCTTTGTAGTGTCTTTTTTGTGAAATGACTGTACTTTCATGTACACTGACATTTTAGTCTAATTTCCTCAAGATGTACTTGTGCTACACTCTGAGTTCAGATGTTTGTGCTCGAGTTGCATCTTTGAATCGTTAGCATTTGGGCAGCAGAGTGTGGAAGTTTTCCAACCAGCGGCTTCTTATAAACAGCTCTCTCTCCTGCCAATAACAGACTTGGTCGCTTTCCCATTCCCCAAGAAAGGTAATGTTCAGATAAGCGTGAGTACATTAACACGTTTCCTCTGCTTGGACACTGGCTTCTTGCTGTCTTGGTGAATCTGGGTGTAGACACTACTGAAATTACTGGGATTTTGCTTCTGAAAGCCTTTCCAAAGCCGTGTGGTTTTTTTTCAAAGACCAGCAGAAGCAGCAATCTGCACTGTGCTTAACTCTGCAAGAATACAAAGACACAAGCAAGGCAACTGTATTCTGTCTGTGGATTTTAGTTCTAAAATATAACCATTAGAAGCAATCTCAGAAAAACATCTTGGCTCTGACCCTGTATTTGTGGAAGAGGATCTCTCACAGACTTCGTTGCTAGGGATCTAGAGAGTTGCATAAATCTTCATTGGTGGGTCAGACTGGGGGATTAGGATTGCAGTTGTGTTGTCAGAGATGCTTTTGTAGAGAATTCTGAAAAATGCCAATATTCTTAGTAGTATCAACAATTTACTTACTGGGGTTTTTTTTGTTTGTATTTTAAATCTGCCTACAAGCCTGACTTAAGGAATGGGATGAAAAGACATGAACCTGTGAGTTAAATAATCAAAGAATACATTTCAATTCTTACATGCCCTTGAGAATACAGGAATATCTCTTCTGCTCAAATACTAAGCAACTTTTCACCAGCAGGGAGGAAATAATACATTTTTGCTCAAACTTTACTGCAGTGACTTACTGCCAAATAGAATGGAATTATTTAAAGTATTAGGAGTCTTTGCTGTGTTAGAAAACACTGCTGCAAACAAGTTAGCTATGCTGGATCTTTTTGGAAGACAGTGCTCTTCTAACTTGATATTCTAGAACTTGAGCAAACCTGTTCCCATAAGACCTCACTGATGTTAATCTGAGTCAGAAACAGAATAAGAAGCAGCATTGAAAAGCACATTTTTTATTGCTTAATCCTAAAAAGTAATAAGATAATTTTATAGTACTTTTTCAAATATTTACCTCTGGAGATGTGTAGTCCTTAAAATTACCTTCTATCGACCTTGCTTGTGCTGTCAGAGTAGCTCATTGTGTGTCAATTGTAAAGTGGCAAAAAGCTTTGTGTTCTTGTTTGTATTCAGGGACTTGGGAGAAAGTAGTGTTGGAATCATTCCTTCTGTTTTATAGCATTTGGATTAAAAGTACAAGAATTAACAGTTTGCTTTTAGCTTTTTGCTGAAGGGATCTGAATTACCAAGTGTGCTGCTTTGTCTCTGTGTGTAAGGTACAGAGATGTTCCCTGTGACCAACCAGAAACAGGAGCTCTGTAATACCTCTGCAGACTGCTGCCCAGTGATTGGCCTGCTTTATACAGATCATACCTTTGCTCAGAATACAGAGTGCAATTAAATTGCAGTTGAGATAAAAAGGTTGTGTTGGCTGAGAGTTTTTTAATTAGCAGGGGGAGCCTCTGCTTTGTTTGAAAACAAAACCTTGGGTTTGTGAAAGGAAAGCTAAAAAGCTTTTACTTGGATTGCTGTCTGCAAATCTAAATGGTTGCCTTCATTATCAGTACTTGTGAAATTGCTGGTTCAGGCAGGCTGTAGAAAATAAGTTCCCTGAAGGAGCACCAATGTAGCAAATGCAAATTAAAACCAAAATTACTGACCTTTCAGTGCTGCTCATAGCAGAATAAGGAAGTGTGGAGGGACCTGTGACATTCCATGCACCATTCCTCTGTTACTTTGAGGCTTTGCATTTAGGAGGTAGGGAGCTATGAATTATTGAACGTTTGATTTTATTTTGGTTTTGCTTTTAGATACATAATGGCACATCTTAAGTTTGGGATACATAGAGTTAAGTAGTGAAATGGATCTGGTGTCAGAGGAGTGGAAAAAGTAACAATTGGATTATTTTTATAATAATAATCCTTGTATTTAACCAAAACCCCAAAAGATGCACAGGATAGAAGATCATGTCTTGTTTTCATTTTATTCAGCAGCCCATTCCCTTCCAAGGCAGTGAATGGCTTCTCTTTATTGTGAGCTGTATTGTTATTTATCATGTCTAGAAACTTGATATGATATTTTGAAAATACATGTAAAAATATACATGGATTAAAAAGATTCTGCTAAATAATCGTATTTGATTACAAATGCAGTCAAATCTAGTTTGACTGTCTGTCTTTCTCTATTCACTTAGAGGGTTTTGTTGGAAGGAGAGGTGAATTAGGGATGGTTGTGATTTTCCTCTGTAGTGTCATACCGTTATTCTTTAGTCTTTTAATTCTTTCAGTTCCTATTTTCAAGACTGCTTTGACAGTATTGATAGATTCTGGGATATTTTCACTTCCCATAGTAATTCTTGGAATAGCAGCTTTTTTCCCTTCTGCCTTCAGCCCTTTTCTTTAGCTATAAAATGCTAAATCTGTTCCTGATTTTGTATAAACTAAACCAAACCTAACTTTAAATAAAATTGGTTCAGTTTAAAAGTGTTTGGTTTGGTTTGTTTTTTTTTTTTGTTTGGGTGATAAAACTTGGCTGAATCACAGACTTTGAGCAATACTGGCTTCTGATATTTTTTCCTATGCTTACTTGCAGTCCCAGATACTGCTTTATCTATAAAATATCATGTACTGAATCACCTTTGCATTGGTAGAGCACAAGTGTGAAATTATTCACACTAGGTACTAGATAGAAGTTTTCTAGTGTATTGAGACTATTTCTTATAAGAGCTTTTCTCCTTCTCTGAATCTTTTTTCCTTCTTTCTGTGTATTTGCTGAAGTTTCCAGCATCTGAATAACAGATCAGGCAGATGCTTAGTGCTTGGTACATGTCCTTTAGAAAGGTATTTATTCATATTTGTGCAAATTCAGTGCAGGTGTTTAAGTTGGCCATTTGTGGGGGTTTTCACCTATAATTATTTAAATTGTAGGTACACTGTTGTAGGTGTGTAATTCTTTAGCCATTATTCCCTAGTTGGCTCAAGCAGATGACCAAGTTTCCTAAATCTATGTCAGACATTATTATCTTTTGTTGTGCAGGTTAATTTGGGGTCTGGTGAAGCACATCAGTGTTGTAATACAATTTATGAGGTGTCAAATAATGTGTTAATAAGGAATGGGAGTTAACCATCTATCACTGTTAACATGTGAAGGAAAAGTGGGGAAGATACTTTTGTCCACAGTTACCTGCCTTTCTACCTCCAAGGGCTCTGGGGTTGGATTCTGGGCATTTGCAGTTCTGAAACAAAAAAGCATTAAACTTTTGAAAATTACAATTTTCATAAATATTTCTTGAAATCTGTACTAGTCTCAAATATTGTTTTTCTTTTGATAAAATTTGAGAAATCTTGTGGTAATGGAATCAACAAGATGGGGCAGAGCAATTACCTCATTATCTATATTCTTTTTTTTATTCAAAACAATAATGTAATGTTTTATTTTTTACAGATGACTATGGATGAGAAATATGTGAACAGCATTTGGGATCTTCTGAAAAATGCAATCCAAGAGATTCAGCGTAAGAACAATAGTGGTCTCAGTTTTGAGGAGCTGTATAGAAATGCTTATACAATGGTGTTGCATAAACATGGTGAAAAACTCTACACTGGACTAAGAGAAGTGGTCACTGAGCATCTAATAAACAAGGTTTGTCCATTTGTGAATTAAAATAGAAGTGTCTTATATGGAAGAATTCTGAACAGTTATTTAAATGGCAGAAAATCTAACTTGATTATGTTACCTTGTGTTGCGGTTGTGTAGCTTCTCTCAAAAATGGTAGCATAGAGCTAAACTCAAGCTCAAATGATTTCATGTTCCAGGTGCTGTTTCTGGTAAATTACTGATGGAAGGCAGACCTAGGAAGCACTTGAAACACTGTTAAAGTAAAGAACTTTTTTTTTTTGGAGAATAATGTTAAGAGCTGATAATATTTTTTAAAGGTTTGTGTCATTTTTGGTGGCATTTGATGACTTTCTTAGGCCAAATTTTGTCTTGTTTGCCAGTCAGTTTTTTTCATTTGTGGAACAAATAAATACCAATGTAAGAACTTGTTTTCTGTAGGCTGATGAACTAATTCCCAGGTTAATGAGACAGTTGTGCCTGGATTATGCTCTTTAAAGAGGCAGCAGGCACTGTTCAAAAACAGCAACTCAGCAATAGCAAAAGTCCTGAGTAGCTCACATTCTGCCATGTCAGCCTTTGCAAAACCATGTAGGTCAGTCAAAATGACTTGCAGAAACTTTCTGAAGATATCATCTGAGAAAAGGAGCCTTCAGGTCTCGTGTTAAACTATGGAACCACTTCTTTAGTCTTTGAGAGAAGTTTAGAATTGATTAATAAATAGGTAAGTGGGAAAAGTTGGAAATCACTTTTTAGGACTCCAGATAATATTTCATGGCAATAGGATTCTAAGTCTATGGGAGGTGCCTGCCTTACTCCTCATGGTAACATCCATAGCAGAGAGGTACCTGTCTACTTTGATCCCATGTTCTGGCCATGGGCTCAGATGGAGTATCAGATTTTTGTCCTGTTTTTACAAGATCTGAAAAGGAAAGTCAGAGACCATTGTGCATCTTGGATGATTATTTCTGGCTGAGTTACAGAGAATGGATGGGAGATTTATGGCTAAATAATGCAGCATGCTTGGGGACTTTTGTGTGTGTTCCAACTGGAGTTACTGCTGTGGCAGAGAAATGTATTATTTCTTTTCTAAAATCCTAGTTTTTAAAGGTGTGGTCCAGATAAGTATAGTCTAAAACTGCTTTGAATGTGGGGCTTTTTTACTGTGTGCACCAGAGGAGACATCCTCTATGAAGTGGTTAAATAATTTGCAGTTCTTTTCTATAATTGTAGCACATCTGTGACTCTCAAAAACTTCTGGTTTCATTATCTGTGCATTCATAATCTGTACTATTCACATAAAATGTGGCAAATGGCTGAGGCTTTTTTTGCCTTGTTCTTGTATATGTCTGTGCATTTAATAATCATGATACTAAACTTTTATTCTTCCTAGGATTTAGTTTAGCCTAGTTTAATTTGATGGGTGTCTTTTTATCTTTGTTCCTAGGTATTCTGCCACTTATCTTAGTTCCTAGCTATTTTGCATATTAAAAATTATGCATTTGCAGAATTAATTATTCTGAAGTGCTGATTGTGGCAGGCTGACAAAAGAGCAGAAGATTCTGAGTTTGTACTTTCAGTGCAGAGGCTGAGAGGACTGCACAGATAGCAGTGCAGAGAAATGCCTTTCTGACACTTAATATTCCTGTATCTGGTTCTTTAAATAAAATCTTCTCTCATGAACTTATATTCTGATCTTTAATGTGATTAATCAAATTATATCCGTGTGTGGGTGATAAAAAGATGACCAAAGCCTTTTCAAATAAAAAGGTTAACTGAGTTTTAGTAGTTAATTGCTATAGAGTTAAAAAGGCTAAATTATTCTGATGATTCTAGCCTGTAAAATAATCCAAGGAAAAGACTAAAGAAATGTGACTTATGCCAAAAATTTCTGAAAAATAACAAAAACTTATAGAGGCTAAAAGCTACTGTTTGTCCCTTTTGAATGTTTGCTTAGACACATTATGTTGAGGCATATATAGATGGAAGTATGGAAAAAATAGTGCATTGTTTATCAAGAATAGGATCAGTTCTATAATGACATCTTCTGTTTGTGCCAGTGTTGCTTGTTGTAAGATAGACAAAAAAAGAAGTTTTGTTTAACGTTACATTTTGTCATAGAAGTTTTTGCAAAGTCTTTTATGTTTGCTGTCTCTTTGCAAGAGCAATTTTCTGGTAAATGTTAAGTAGCTAATGAATGATAAATGATCTCATCACAAGTCTTTGTAAAACTTCTATTCAGAGATTCAGTGGTGGATGCTAGAATTTAGAAGAGGGGGATTTTGCCAACTGAAATATTGTTCATTAAATTCTTTTACTTTTGTAAAAATGGAAATGTTCACAGATGAGTAGATTTTACTGAAGAATTATACTCAGTTCAGGGAGCACTGCTGAGGAGCCTTCCCCAAATCTGAAATAATTGTTGAGCCATAACTGTCATTTGCTGCCCACATCTCCAGGTTGTCTTTTTAGAATAAAAAGTTCTTGTGGTATTCCAGTCATGCTGGTTAATTAGGAATAGATGAAGAGACTAGGTAGAGGCAATACTAGGTAGAGGCAATGTATATGTTCAGTTGTTTTTACAAATAGTTGTAAAGCATGGAAAGCATTCCTTCATTTTTGGCAAGGCATGGTTAAGAGCTGTATTTATGATTTATGCTAATTTAATTGCCAGGTGAAAGTTGTGCTTATTCAGCATTTTAATTAGCCATCAAAGACTAATGAGAAAAGTATTTAGCTTCTCAACAAGAAAACAGCACAATGCGCTGTCTTGACAGCTTAATTGTAAATAAAATAATAGGTGCAAATATGATCAATGCAAGGTGCATGCATTCAAGGTATTACCAAGAATGCTTGGTTTAAGACTTGCAGACCCCAGTGGTGTGCAGTTCCAAATCACCCTGTTCTGGCTGTGGGATAAAGGCTGTAGTAAGCCAGGTACTCTGCATCACTGAGATGAGTCAGCTCTATTGAGCTACCTTGTTTCTACTACAGGGGAAGAGCATGCTAAAACTTGTCTTTACCTGTGTATTGACATCATTATTTAAGTATAGTACACGTAGAGCTATTTTAAAATACTGTTGAATTTTGAAAGTACTGAAACCTTTCATCTTAATTCAAGTATTTAATTCCTGTGCATCTGATACTTCACTAATTACTCCCTTTCTTGCCCATTGACAATCTTGTAGCTTGATGTGGACGCTCTTCCTTCACACTTCTCAAGCCTAGTCTGTTATTACTTCACACAAATGTTAAGTGTTTTTAAAACACACAAAGCTTAGTTTACAACTCTCTAAACCATTTGATGATAAGCAACATCATTTGTGTTACAGCAAAAAAAAAAAATGTTTACAGAATAATATTTTTAATGCTCATTTTATGCATAAGTCAGTGGGACCCAATAAGGTGCAGTCCCAGAGTCCTGAGGGGAATTGATGTAGTGGACAAGCCACTTTCCATGATACTTGAGAAGTCATGGCGTGGCAGTCAGGTGAGGTTCCAGATGACTGGGAAAGGGGAAACATTGTACCCATCTTTCAGAAGTGTAGAAAGGAGGATCTGGGAACTCCAACCTGTCAGCCTCACCTCTGTGTCTGGGAGGATCATGGAGCAGATCCTCCTAGGAGCTACGCTAAGGTACAGGGATGACAGGGAGATGGTTTGGGACAGCCAGCACAGTTTCACCAAGGGTGAGTCTTGCCTGGCCAACCCAGTGGCCTTCTGTGAAGGAGTGACCGCATCAGTGAGCAAGGGAAGAGCCACAGATGTCATTTGTGTGGATGTCTGTAAAGGTTTTGACATGGTCCCCTATAACCTTCTTGTGTCTAAATTGGAAAGACATGGATTCTGTGAGTGGAGTTCAATGGATAAGAAATTGGTTGGGTGGTCACACCCGTTGGATGTGGTCCATGGCTCAGAGTCCCGATGGCCATCAGTGACAAAGTGGTGTCCCTTGGGCCTGTCCAGTACCTGCTGTTCAGAGGACAGTACAGGCAGTGAGAGCCCTTTGCTCAGGAGGGCACAGAGCAGGAGTGGGTGCTGAGGCAGGTATCGGCTGAAAGAAGTCCACTCTGGGACTTAGACAGTTATGTCTGGGGTCCTTTGCAAGCTTTAGAATTTGCTGTCTTAGTGTTGCAGAGAAAAGGGAGAGATGAGAATCATCTCCATCAGGGAGTTTGAAATTATTTCCATAACATCAGTGAAATAGGGAGGAATGACATGAGAAGTTGTGTAGGAGGCAAATTACCTACTGAGCATTAGAGTGCGTCTGACTGGCAATGTATGAAGTTTTATCTGCCTTTTTATTTTCTTAATGATGTTTTCAGATGATCTTGAGCAAGTCTGCTATTATATGGAGGGCAGACGGATGTGAGGGAATTGCGTGAAAGTACATAACTGTTCAGAATCCCCAGTATTCTCCAGTGTTTGTTTTTTCCTTTTAGCAGTAGGATAGCAACTGCAGGGATGAACAGACATTTCTGGTAGTCAGTCCATTAACCTACTTGGGTTAATCTGAATCCTAAGATTTTAGAATACTATCTTTTAGACTACTTGGATTTTTCTAAAAGAAGCTCTATAGTAAAAGTTCTGAGAGCTTGAGGCCTTGGTTCAGAAAGTGCTGTTCTGTACTGCTGCTCCCCTCAGGATGTTCTGGCTGTCCTTACAGTAGTGGAAATTACATAATTGAACTATATGTGCTGCTGCATCAGGCCAGGCACTGTAAGATAGAAATGGTAGGCCATAAGTCCTCTTTATGTACACTCAATCAAGAGTTATTTAAAAGTATTGAAAGCTTATGCCAACAAACTGCTCTTACTGGGGGAAGGTTTCTGTATTTCCTGAAGCTGTGTAGCCAGTAGAAAATACAGTTTGGCCTGAAGTTAAACACAAAATTTCATCCTTGTAACTATAAGAAGACCTTATATATATTACAAAGTTGCTAATTTATTTTCAAGTACATCTGTATATGGACAGTTCTATTTAAGCTGGCTTTCCCTGCAGTTTACTTCATAACTGCAAATACTGTTACAGAAATCACCACAAGCTCAGCTAATTTAAAGTAACATTCTGCTGATAAAAATCTTTGAGATTTGAAATGTTCTAAGGCTTTGGCAGAGTAGCAGCTGTGTCTCCTCTTTGTTAAAACAGTGTGAGTATGCACTTTTTTTTACTTCAGATTATTTATTCTACCAAAGTGGTGTGACTCTGCACCTTTGCATGGCTAAGATGTTTTGTGCATTATAACAGTTTCTCTGTAGTATTGCTGAATTAATGGCCCATACAAGGAATGTGTTGAACACTTGTTAAGTATGAAGTTGCTGTAAGTGATAAATTGCTTGGCAGTAGTTTGGTTGGCTTTTGTAGCAGCTGAAAGAATGGCTTTTTAAACCTCTTCTGCAGTTTCAAATAAACATTGAGAAGCTTCAGTGGGAAACTTTGAAGGTAGCTCTGTTGTACAGCACCCATTTCTGAATTTCAAGCCCATTTCCAGAAATTCACCATATGGAGCAGAGGTGCCACTATTGCAGAGCGTGTCAGTGTCTGCTTGGAAGCAAGTTGTCACTGCTACCTGGTGGCAGGTGTCCACCCCCTTCTGTGTGACTTGGCACTGGCTGGCCCAGCAGGATTTGTGATGGATGTGGGATGTGTGCAGTTATGAGGGCACACTGCCTCTGTGTAGTCAAAGTAAAGGGTATCCTAAAATTGATCAGTAACTACCCTTGGTTATTTGTGCTTATAATCTAATCATGCTTTGGTAAATTTTATTAGTGTGGATGAACTACCAAATGATGTTTATAAAGCTTTTCCATACTGACCAAAGAAGTGAAAGAAACCATGTCATGTTAGTTTCTCCTGTTCTGGAAGATTCTGCATATTCTTCACAAGTATGTCTGCTGAAGTTTTTAGTGTGTATTTGTTTTGGCTAAAAACTACCTGGACTGGGTGACAACAGAGCACACATTTGGGAGACCAAAGGGTAAATGATGATCATGATCAGAAAGAATGGTGTAGTTAAGCAGTGCTTATAACTGCATATTATGTTTTCCAAAAGCAAGCAGGAGAGGCCTTGCTCAGGTGTGCAGAGTAGGTGTTTGAAGTTGTAAGAAAGCTTTGAACAACCCATGCATACCTGTATTGCATAGATGCAGTGACAAGGTGAATATTACTGGGATAAGTTTCCCCTCCTTCATCTTTCCCCTCTTCCTTCCTCCCTCTTCTCTTTCTCCTCCTTCCTCCCTCTCCTCTTCCTTCTCCTGCTCCTTCATTCCTCTTCTTTTCTCCTTCATCCTTCTCCTCCTTGAGACCATTGTGTTGGATGATGTTCCACAGTGTCTCTGGTTTGCTCATCTGAGTTTGTGTGTGTACAGTAGTGTGGCAGACAGGATTTGTTACTCTGGTTTGGCCTGATAACTTCATGAAACTGGAATGATAGAATGAAGCCTGTCAGGTGAGTGCATGAGATGTTGGTGCAGCTTGTGGCTGCCTGGCATCTATGTTTTGTTTTCCTGTTTGAATCTCTGTACTGAAATTACACTATCAGCCAGGTGTCAGTCCAAGTCAATGAATGTGAACATTCTGTTTGGTTACAACAGAGGGCAGAATATATTTTGCATGTTACGTAAAAAGTTAGTTCCCACATTTTATTAACTCTGGAACATTTTTTTTTACCTTCTCACAGGTCTGTCTTTGACATTAGTTTCAAGTTTCAGCACTGCAGTATATGCCTACTGGAAAAAATCAAAAAATGAAAACGGATGGGCTTTTTTATTAGTTGGGAGAGTAGTGGCAAAGAGGCTTAAAATCTGAAGTTGATGAGACAGATTAACTTGCAAATTGCAAATACATTCATGAAAAAACGAAGATTACTTTCTTTTTTTCTATGAAGTCTTGTTGTTGGTATTAATGTAAGAGTCTGATCTTTAGAAAGCAGTTGGTTCCTTTCAGAACTGTTGTTTGCTGTATCTTTATGCTATCTCAGCTTGTCTCTCTAAATGTCATCATGGCCAATTTTCCACCTCTACTTGTTCCTGTTTGTAGCATTTACTGCTACTACCCAATGTTCTGAAATTACTTGTGATAGTAAAATTACCAGCAATTGAAACACTATAACACAGGAAATGAAAGCTATGAGGAGTCGTCAGAGACTATTTTTAACTATTTGAAACTTCAGGAATTCCTTTGAAATTTAAAACCCATGTTTATTTTGTTTCTCTTGTTGCTAGCATAATTTTTCTTACTTATTTTACCACAGAAGGGAAATATGAGGTAGGGATAGTCAGCACACAGGAAAAGAAAGAACCTGTTTGCAAAATTCAGGTCCATGGAGGAGCAAGAATTCTTATGCTGAAGCTAAGTTTAAGATTTAAATGCTGCAGAAGAAACTGACTTGAGTTCATGTCAATATTTTTTTTTTCACTTCAGGTGCGAGAAGATGTGTTAAACTCCTTGAATAACAACTTTCTACAAACACTAAACCAAGCGTGGAATGATCATCAAACAGCAATGGTGATGATTAGAGACATCCTGATGTACATGGTTGGTATTCTGCTATTTCACACTTTTAGCAGTGAAGTAAATTGTCCTTTTACCGTGCTTACCAGTCTTCTTTCAAAGACTACTCTCTGTCCCTTGTTTTCAATTTTCTGTGTGCATACAAGACTGCTGCAGGTGTTTGACAAATTGTAATTGGATTCATGCTTTAGGTTATCTCATTATCACCTGAAAAATTGATCTAAAAAATATTTGATCTTTGGAGTTCTTAAAAAATAAGCTAGTCAGACCCATTCTGGCAGATTTTAGATGTTGATTCAGGTAATGGTGTTTTCTTACTGTGGAAAGCAATATGGTGTAAAACCTCCTGAAACTTCCAGTGTGGTTGTTCTTTAAGCTTTAGGATTCAAAGAGGATAACTTTGCTTGGGTATGATGTGTGTGTCCTTGAACGTTAGATTGTAGTTGGATCCTTTGCTGTTCATAAAGAACTTGTGTAGAAGATTAAGCAGTGTACATAGAATGAGGTTTTTGGTTGCATGCTTGCCATTTCTCACCTATAGTCAACAGAAAAGACTTCTTTTTTTTTTTTTTTTTTTTAAAGAGAGAGCCTAACATTTTTGTGTCTGGATTGTGTTATGCTTTAGGTAGTTGGCAAGTACTAAAATTCCCATAATATTGGGGATGTTTTAGGATGCAAGAGAATATTTTTGCTTAGCTTCTAGACAAAGGTTTTGACTTCAAAAGGAAGTGTTGAGACGCCCTGTTTTTTGTGTAAATTTTTTTTTCCCTCCAAAGTATCCTACATATAATAATTGATGCAGTACTTGACAGTGAAGGACGGAAAATAATGGACTTTTCTGGTCCAAAAAGCAGGTGAACTGGAATTGTACTCTATCTGCTAAACAGGAGTTAAGATCTTGTCTTGTAACTGTTAAAGATCTCATGCTGTGACATTGACTGTGTTTGTATTAGCTGTGAAGTCCTCTTTGGTCAATAAGCTACTACAAGTTAAAAGAATTTGAATTGCAGAATCACAAACAATTCTTTTTAACTGGTTTACTGGCCTTCATGTTGGAGGAGTTGGTTTATTTCACTAGGGAAAAGACCACATACCAAAAAATAGAGTGCTGGGTAACATGCCATCAGTGACACTGAATGATTTGTGTGCCAAAAGGAAGATGGACAGATTGTTTAGAAGATGTACTGTCCTTGCTGTGAGAGATCCTGGACTCCCTAATCTGTTTGTGAAGGACAAATACAAATCAATTGCTGTTAGCTGCATCTAGGCATATTCAAGAATATTTAATGATTAGATTAATCTACCAAAGGTAGTGGTGAATTTTCAGAAAGGTTGGAAGATGGAATTCAGAGTTTTCTAGGAGAGCAGCTGTTGTGTTTCAGCCCAATATTATATATTATTTCAGCACAGGAGGTGCTGGATGGTCCAAAGTAATGGATAATGCAGTGTTATCTGCTGCTCCAAAAATCAATAAATTCTGATCTTTCAAACAGTGGCAGAGAAAACTGGCTTATAAGCTTTCCTTGTTTTAGTGGCTTGACTGGTATATTAAAGGCCAAAACCTTTTCTCTTCGAGGAAGGGTTGCCTGCTTCAGTAACCACTCCTGGGGGAGCAGGAGAGCTGTTTCCTGAGCATTATTTGCAGTCAGAAGAGCAATGCCTTGACTTTGTTTTGAAGCCTGAGAGTGCTGTTCAGACATCCAGCCAGCCTTTTCTTTTCCACCAAGGTTCCAGGAGAAGGAAAGCTGCAGCATTCCTTGAAGTGTAAATTGACCTTCATTGCCTGTCTTTTAGATTGAGAACAGAAGAATAAATAAGCTTGAATCCTCTGGACTAGGTAGCTTTCTGTGTGCTGTTTGACAGTTCTTAATTATTTCAAGTGGGTGTTCAGTTGAGCCCTCTGCTTGACTAATTATATGACTCCCACAGATTTTTTTTCCCTTGTACCACAGAAACAGAAAAAAAAACATCCACAATAAAATATATTTATAGCATAATAATCTTTAAAAAAATCTTTCAAAATGCTTATATAGACTTAGGGGCTAATGTTTGTTTGTTTTTAAACCTCTGTAATGTAATATGGAGTTTATAACTATAATTTTAATTTTTATTAGGTAGAACTATCTAGTGTGAAGGTCTAATACAATGGGCAGTCTCCTTTGACTTGGAGGGACATAAGACAAATTGTCAATAATACATATTTTGATTACAAATTAAAGAATAATCAGTGATTTAAAACAGGACTACTTTGAAAGATTTGCAGTTTCTCCTTTGTCGCTGAGATGTCCTCTTGAGTCAGATGTAATTTTCTTCATTCACAAAAGACTTTAAGAGTAAAAAACTTCCCACTCTTGAATGTGTGTTCATTCAAAAAGTTTGGGAAAGCTGCCAGTGCCACAGAATTATAAAGCACCTGTGAAAGATCAGACCTGACTGCTTTTCAAAGAAATAATTTTGAAGAATTTTATAAAATAAAGAATGATTTGTCCTTACTTTCTGATGTTGAGTCTGACTGACACATAGGTTTATAATGATATGCTTTTTCAGAAATAATTTATGCACTTCTATTCAAGCAAATCTAATACAAGACATTAAAAATATTTTATCTAAAAAAAGCACCAAACACTATAACCTGCGTCAGCAGGCATTGTAAATTAATATGCTTGTGTTCTAGCAGAAGTATCTGCAATTATCTTGTGTTTGTAAGTAAAGCATGACCCAATCCTTCTCTTGTTTTGTAGGCCATCTCGATTACACATCAGTTTCAGGAAATGTACCTATTGCCCAACAGGCCACACTGTGACATCAGTGAAAGTAAAACATTTAATACCCTCTTGAATTCTGGTCTTACTCTCTTGAATTCCTGCTTCAGCCTAGTGATTTTACATCTTGAACATCTTAAACTAAATTGTATCTGTTTTAATGCCACATTTTTTTTCCAACTTTGTTTCACCCATTAGCTGCCATATGATTTAAGTCAAAACAAACACCTTTCCAACCCACCTTAATTTCTTTCCTCTGTTTAATTTTTTCTGTTTTTAAAATAAAAATCAATACAAATAAATCTTTTTTAGGAAGGCATGTGTTTTGTACAGTGGGGTTTGTGCATTATGGTGCTTAATGACTAGAACACTTGCTCTTTGAGATTATGGCAGGATTTCATTGTTCATGCAGAACATCCTCCACAAAACACTCTCAAGTTTGCCTCATAGTTATGTTTTTAAAAATGTGTATTGCCTCTTGTGATTGCTCTGTAGTAGAAGTCTGTTACTTTCATTTCTGTTGCAGGTGTAGTATGAGGTTTTTGCAATCTTTTGCACTTACTGTGCAAGGTTTGTCTTGATTATTTTGAGACATTCCAGGTTCCCTGACTGAATTTCAAGTTTATGTAGTTCCACTGGATTATGTTTGATATCACACAAGCTCTCTTCCTTTTTACCTGTTTAGGCTGCAGTAATTGGTGCCAGAGTTGATATAATACACTGTGAATTGTGGCACTGTCTGTGACAAGCAGTGAGGTGCTGAAGCAGTCGAGTCATGTGCTAAGCAGCATCTTTGCTGAGTCTAGTCAGATACTAAGGCAGGTTGAAGTATTGAAGTTCATTTGGCATCTCTGAAATTCAGCCTCACAGTGGCAGTGCAGGTAAACATACCTACAGTGGGCTTTATTTAGCTGCTGTATGGAATGGGAGCAGTGGAGCTGGAGTTGTTTGGGCTTTTCTCCAGGCAGTGTGGATGTGTGTATTCTTAGAATGTCAAATGGAAACTGAGTTCAACTGGATTCTGTGGTGTCTCTATTACTTGTGCTTGCTAAATTTAAAGCAATTTCAGGTATGCAAGTGCAGCAGTCACACCCCTGGCTGCCTTACAGGCTGATGGGTAGTGCCAGTTACACACTGTCAGAAGTGAACAATTGCTCCTGCAAATACAGCTGTGGATTTTCCAGAGGGCAGAGCATTCCCTTCTCATCTGTGCTGTGCACAAAGCTGGTGTCTTTTTTTAGGCCAGCACTGACAGGTTGGATATGTGAGTTTTGACGAATGACTCTCATTGTCCATGGCTTACACACAAGGTAATAGAGAGAAGTGTTGTTTTATTTCCAGAGCTGGGATCAAAGACACTTACTGTATACACAAGGGTGTCTGAAGGCTGCTGCATCATCCAGGTAGTGCATCCATGCAGAGATGGCTAAAATGTGGCTACTGGTACCTTACAGTAGGTGACTTCAGTTCAGAATTATTCTGGAGTGTCAGCAGGATTGTAATTCATCAATAATAGCTGTCTGAAACTCCATCCTTGTCTTGTGAAAGTTACTCCTACCTTTAAGCACCCACTGCTTCTCCCCACGGGAAGTGATTTCTGTTCAGTAGTGTGTAGCCTTGTCAGTCAAACCTGTTCCCAAACGGGGCTCTCTGTGATTTGCTTTTTTAGACGGGGAGAGCTTCCAGTAAATGCGATCTGTTACCAAGGGTGAGCAAATCAGCAGGATCAGAAATGTTAATGTTGCTGCTCTGGTTTGGGTATTGTTGAGAGGTCTGGCTTACTACAGAGGCTGCTGATAAACTGAGAGGAGTTACTCTTTCACAATGGCAGTGTTCAGCACTGCCACAACAGAAGCTATGCAGATGAGTCATGGCCATGGCTTTAATCCTTTTAGATACCCTGCTGCCTGTGCTTCAGAGCCCTGAATATTTTTTGAAATAATAATTATATTCTTTTCTCTTCAAGTTATAGTATTAGACACTACAATTTAATTTGCTCTTTCATCTCTTTGAAAATGTATTTTAGGCTTGTTTTACCTGAGAATCACATTTACTTCTTTTCTTGATGTCAGTGTGTAAATAAGGAAGTGAAATAAACAATCCTGTTCCTAAAAACAGAAAAGCGTAAGTAACCTATTCCAAAGATTTAGCCCACCACTCATCTCTGAACTGACTTCATGAGAGCAATTAGTAAATGTTGTGGTTTGAGACATCTGAGCTTGCTTCAGAAGCCAGAGAGGAGGCATATCTGACATGTTCCCACCTTGTTTTATCATTTAATTTAAGGGCTGCCTTCTGAAGACAGAGAGTGGGAAATCACACATTAATTGCTGAACCCAGTGTTTTGCTTTCCTTTGGTCACCAAGTGGCAATCTGGCATATAATTAGCCTAGGAATAATTTTTCCATGTGAATGCAGGCGCTAAATGCTGGGCTGTCTGTTCCTTCTTTTTTTTTTCTTTTTTTTTTTAAATTGTGGAATTTATGTAAACTTGCAATTTTGGAATATTTTTTCCATAATCTTCATTCCATAAGCATAACATTTGTTGTTTTAATGGTTTTTCCATTAAAGAGTAGCTTTACTCTTTAATTCTGTGTGTGATAAAGCACTTAATAAGATAGTGGTGGAACCAGTGGAGAAGCTAATCTTTATACTCAATTTCATAAATTAACTATCATCCTTTATAGAATTTGATTATTTTTCAGGATTATTGTTTTGTTATAGCTATATACATTCTTACAAAACCTCATCCTAGTCAGATTTGTGTGTGGGTACACCTAGCTTTTTCTAATGTCATTGTCCTGATGCTTAAATGGTAGCAAAGCAGTATTTTTAGTAATTGCCCAAAGTATTATATTAGAGGAATGGATTATGCCCTGACAGAAATTAACAAAAATACTGATTGCTCATCTCAGGAAGGGGTTGTAAAAACTCAGTTTTTCTATTCTTAATACTGTTTTAAGTGGTCTGACTCAGTAGTGGTTGTTAATCAAATACATGCATTTTCTGTCTGCTAGTGACTTCATTAATAGATTCCTTTTTTCAGAGTTAAGTTGGGAGGGAGGAATACGAAAGAAGAGAGATTTTTTTGGAGCATTTCTTTGGGTAGCAGTAAGAGACTCGGGGTCTGCTTAGCACTCTCAGTCAAATCTGTATGATGGATTTTGGGCTATGCAGTCTTAAAAACGCTGATCTGAGGATCAGTGTTGGTTTTTAAATGTAGGTGCATAAAAATAGGTAGTCGAGGAGCTTGATCCTTCCCATGGACAAAGATTATTTTGGGAGGTAGAATTTAAACATACATGGAAATGTAAAAAATATTTTCTTCTCTCCCTCTTCTTTTTTGGGGGAGCAGGTGGTGTATGGGTGAGGTTATAATGAAACATAACAAAATTTTGAAGTATGTTTCAAGTGGAATGAAAGTGAATTTGGGGAGGGTGGAGGGAGGGATGTCTATAGAAGTCTTATGTACAATTTTGCAGTACTAATCCATAAAGATTTTGATTGTAACTCTTCTTGTTTTGGCTCTATATTTGCTACTCTTTACCTAATGATGCTATTTCAGGAAATTTCACTGAATGTTGAATATCTTTTGCCTAAAAGGAGTGGTAGGAAGATACATGGAGGGGAGGGGGAAGTTAAATAATTTTTCTTCAAGATCAGAAAGAGATGGAAGGTTTGAGTAGGTAAATAAAACCTCTTGCAAATAGTGCTATGCATTTAGTCAGTGCTTGGAGACTCCTCTGCACCCAGACTAAAAAGTGGGAATGCTATAGATCTGCTATGGCATGCTTTAGTCACAAATGCTGTGTTTATACTCCTAAGCAAAATAGAAATCCAAGTGTAAATGAAGTTTTGGAAGACGGGACTGATTATGAATTTTGAAGGGTATACATAATTTCTTTCTGTTAAGTGAAAAAATATATTTGGTCATATTTCCACTGTAGAGAAGGGGTTGATCTCTTGTATTTTTGAATAGCATTGATGCAGTGAATTCACAGTTTCATTGCTGTTCATGCCCTTGCTGTAGGACCGAGTGTATGTGCAACAGAACAACGTGGAGAATGTCTACAACTTGGGCCTGATCATTTTTCGAGATCAGGTCGTACGTTATGGCTGCATCAGGGATCACCTGAGGCAAACTCTGCTGGATATGATTGCAAGAGAGAGGAAAGGAGAAGTTGTAGACAGGTAAGATGTTTGTAAGTGGAGTCTTGTTGTAAATAATAGCTGTCCGTTTTTAAAGAGTGACTCAAGAACATAGACAAATAATTCGTTATTTAAGATCACATTTGTGGCTAAAATTTTTTCGTATTTGGAGTAACATATTTCTTTGTGTATTATATTTTAGCACAATGGCAAGCAGGGAAGCTTGTTAATATAATTTTCAATATTTACCTTGCTACTCTGCCTGCATTTCTGTGACTAAGATTGCCCAACATGCAATCCAGGAAAAGAAAAGACTCCCCAGCTACAGCTGTGTATTGTCCCCTACTGCCAGAAAGTGGAATCTTTTTCTAGATGCAGTTCTTTTGTTTTCATTAACTTGCTGATATATTTGAATTTTGGTGGCATTTATTTTGTGTTCAGCTGGGGTTTTTCATTTCTTTAGATTTTTGTGTGGTTGGTTTTTTTTTAACAGCCAGCCATCCAAAAACCTCAAACTTTGCATAGCAACTTCCACATGTGCAGTTGTTTTGAAGTTGAAGTTGCTCAGTTCTGACCTATGTGTGCAGTTTTCTTTGAAGTACTATTTAGGGTTAATTTCTTATATATTAATATATATTCTTCATAATTTTATGACTTAGTAGAACTTGAGCTGTTTGTCCCTGTCATTGCATTTAAAATATTTAGTCAACATTGTCAGCTCTTTAGTTTTGAACAAAACCAAACAGCCTTGCTCTTGTAGTGTTCTTGAAAATGTCATGTCCTGAGCAGATTAGAATGGACTTTTTATTACTACATTTTATTAAAGTTAATATTGTCTTATGAGCTGTTATTCTGCTGTGTACTCTGTCTTACAACCACGTAGATTTCTCAAGTTGTTAACAACTTACTTTTTGGCAGAGGCGCAATAAGAAATGCTTGCCAGATGTTAATGATTCTAGGTCTTGAAGGAAGGTCAGTCTATGAAGAAGACTTCGAGGCTCCATTTTTGGAGATGTCTGCAGAATTTTTTCAGGTACAGTAATGTTCTATTACCATATTTGGAATGCTGTTATAACTCTCAGATCCCTGAACTGTCAGATTTGGTGGTACTTTACATACTTGTTGCTTTTTTGATGAGTATGTCCATCTCCATTAAATGAAATAAGAGAAATAGTTACTAACTTTTCAGGGAAAAGTAAGAAAAATTTTACAAAATTAGCATAATTTGAATGTAGTTTTGAGCTATGGGTGCCAATGACGTGTACAGTAACCATCATGCTAATCTTATGCCTCCTTTAGGTTATTTCATGTAACTTAGTCTACATCTGCTTTGCCCCCCACAGTCTTTTTGAAATGCCACTAGCATGAAAGGTTCAAACTGTTTCAGGCTTGGAAACCTGTCACACTGCCTTTGAGGAAACTTTGATACCTTCATAGTTTCCACATCTGTGAGGGGTTTTTGTAATTAAATAAACCAAGTCAAGGAACTAAGCATATCCCAGTGGCTCTCCAGTTGTTGATCAACCACCAAATAATACATTCCAAATATTTTTGAGGGCGTTTCTTTTGTGAGATACTTGGAGGAGGAAAGCCAGTTAAGTGCTTGTGGAGTGTAATCATGATCATCTATTGCTGGAAATCGATAGAAATTTTAAAATAATGTTAAAAATATCTAGATAAGGTAATTTGTGAGTCTCCCATTTCTTATGCAAGATCAATTGTCATATGCTCTGAGCTCCTTACTTCTTTGAAAAGCAGAAGCATATGTTGCACAGCCATTTAAATGTCAGTGTTCTGGTTTTCATTAATGCTTATATAAAATTAAGAAAAAAAATTAAAGTTCTCTTACTTAGCTTTGCCTGAAAAATAAGACATCTTTTCTCCAAAGACTCTGCTGACCAATATTAATAAAACCAATTTGACATGAAATAATGTACTCAGCATTGTCACTAATGAGATTAAGGAGAACTACCATAAACTGGTATTTGGAAGGAATTTTTGATCCTTCCCTTTCCCCATCTTTGTTTACTTTGAACCTCTGGCTAAAACTGTAGTTGGTAACGGGAAACTAAGTTGGCTTGGGTTGTTTTGCTGTGAAAAATACATTGTTTATATTGCATGTACCCCCTTATTAACACATTTAGTATAATAGAATCTTTGTGTTAGGTGTGTGTGTGAATCTTGGATGTGTTGGACATGCTGTGTTTGATTTGAACTTACTTATAAATACTGACATGTTTCCTTTTTACCCTTTACAAAAAAGTCTAAAGCATTAATTTTTGTTAATTACAGATGGAAAGTCAGAAATTTTTAGCTGAAAACAGTGCTTCTGTATATATAAAGAAAGTAGAAGCTAGAATTAATGAAGAAATAGAGCGGGTGATGCATTGTCTGGATAAATCAACAGAAGAACCCATTGTGAAAGTTGTTGAGAGGGAGCTTATCTCCAAGCATATGAAAACTATAGTGGAAATGGAGAACTCTGGGCTAGTTCATATGCTGAAGAATGGGAAGACAGAAGGTAAGACTGCATCATTTGTGAGACACAAATGCTTCTGATACTGCTTATTGTTTTTAAGCATGGGATAAGTCAAGCTTAACATCTGTGTTTCTGTGTAATTGTGGAAACATTTAGTAACTGTTTCACAAACATCTGAGACTATTCAGTGACTATTTGGGCTCTGTTTTAAGAGCCATCTTACACTTAACTTGTTTCTGTTTTGTACCAGATACAGGTAGTTTTTTGGTAAACCAAATATCTCATAAGAAAAGTACAAATCTGTTGTAGTGGCTTTTGTCTCCAGCTGACCATGAGCCATTTTATTTTATTATTTCCATTCCTCTAATATGTATTTGTGACAATGCATTACATTTTTTTGGTCCACAGGCAGTTATTTAAAAAGTACTTGTGTGAAAGATTTAAACAGAAGCATTGCAGGACCAACTGGGGAGTGAGCATTGCTGCAGAAAGGAGTTTTCTGTTATTTTAAGGATAAGAAGCAGCTTATTGAAGTGGTTGAAACAGAAGGGCTTGGCTTGATTTGCTTTTCCCTAATAGAGGTTAATGTGAGACAAAATGACTGAATGAAAGTTCTATTTCCATAATAACTTAAGTTTCTAAAGCAGCATAACAAAGAGAGGGATTGTAGTATCTATATTTAGAAATCAGTGCTCACTCTAAAGCCATGAGAATGGGGAGCAGCTTTGCTGCTTAGATTAATGGCCTTTGTTCATTAAAGCAGCTTCACAATTACTAGGTGATAGTCAGAGCATGAAGTGAGCACATTTCCTAGCTGTAAAAAAGAATTACTCTGTTGGAAAACAAAATGATAATACTATACTTAACACTTTCTTCTTTAATATCCAGTGTAGATAATCTTCGGGCTGAGGGTGTAAGGATATTGAAGGGGGTTCATAAAATACAGGAATTGGTTTAACTTTTATAGGCCTTGGTTTGATTCAGTTAACTAGTAGAGTGGAAATGCTGCTTTTGAAGATGAGATTTTTTTTTTTCACAAAGATACAAGGATGGATTGTTCTTTTGGAAAGCAATGTTTAGCCAAAGCTACTTCTCATTATTTTAGGTGTATGAAACATAGTAGTGTAAAGGTGTATGACTGGCTTTAAGACAAATAAACTCTTAAGTTTTTACCAGTTTTTGCTTTTAATACAGAAACAAGCATCACATTAGTGCTGTCCTATTTGGTTTAACTTGCTTTCAAAAAAACATTTGATGCAATGCTTGATTTTGGGAATGATAATCTTGGAAGGTACTTTCTTAAATACTGCTGGAAAGCATAATCTTGCTGAAGGTCTACTAGGTTCACTGTCCTTTAGAATTAGCATCATCTTTTGCTGGCCTGGAGGTCAGCAATGACAGGTTCCCTGCTGCAGACAACCTAGAATAATTGCATACAGTCTTTGCTTTTCATTTTGATGCTGCTGCAGTCAGCATCTTGTCAGGGTTAAAGGAAAGAGGAGAGCAGAAGAATCTGGTGCCTGAGCTGTTACAGGATGCTTTCTGTGGCTCAAGAGGCTGAACTCAACTGTCAGCTGTAGCTCTGAGATGAATGAGGTACAGAAGTGTAACACACAGAGGTGTCCAGCATAATCTCTCATTCTTGCTTGCAGACCTTGCCTGCATGTACAAGTTGTTCAGCCGTGTGCCAAATGGTCTGAAGACAATGTGTGAGTGCATGAGCTCATACCTGAGAGAGCAAGGCAAAGCACTGGTTTCTGAAGAGGGAGAAGGAAAGAATCCAGTTGACTACATTCAGGTAGTTAAATACTTTACTTCCTCTTCTTTCCCACATTCCCCACATTAGCAGTTCACCATATAAACAATTTATGAGGTATACCTTAGTATTGATTCAAAAGGGGTTCTTATTAATAAGCTAAATTTATAAATGCTTTTTAATGTACCTTCTCTGAATCTTCAGACATGTTTAGAACTCTTGCTGAAATTGGTTGGAAAGCACAAGTTTTTGGGTTTTTAGTATTTACTTTTAATAAACAACTTATTCAGCTTAACATCTAACTGCTGGGAGCTTCTTAAATTTCCTTAAATTCTGTGTCTCCAGCTGCTGGCAAATAGCTTTATAGTGTCCACTTTGTTTAATTTCATGTAACATTAGCTATCAGTGTTTATTGAGGCAAAAATCACATGGCAATATTTCATGGCAAGCTTAGCTGTGACTGAGAGGTGAATGTGTTTATCAGTCATAACAAATTACTCATTCCATTCTCTGTCTCCATAAGAAACAGAACAGTTCTGCATGTTAAAAAATGTGAGTGTTCTTTCTTGTTGTCTCCCACTAAGTAATGTGTACCATTAATTTATCAAGATCACAAAATATGCTTCAGAACTATTTGTCATGTTTTCCATTGTCTGTGAGAAAATGGTTTGAAATTTGCATGTAAAACCTTTAGAGTTCATTAAACCTTAAAGCTGTGTTTCTATAGCTGGAAGATGTTTTATATTTATTGTGAAAGTGTGTATTCATTAAACATTGCATTTTTTTAAGAAGTGTGGTCCAAGTCCTTGTGTGTGTTCTTCATGAGAAACATTCAATGTATGTCTGTCAATCTCTGCTGTTTTGTTTGAAGACAGTAACTGTGCTAGAACTGGTTACTCTTTGAAGAAGCCATTTGAGTATAAAAACGTTTTTGATTGGATTATTAATTTTCTGGCAATGCTGAAGCAAACTTCTTACTGGGCTTGCACAATAATCACCTCTTCAAGGCCTGGTAAAAAGAAGAGACAATGCCCTTGAAAAATTATTAGTTTTAATGATTAAGGACTCATATTTGTGGTGGTGTGATTTAGGAAAAAAAAAAACAGGGGAGGGGGGATGTGTGCAAATTATGTGGCAAATAAGCGCCTGGATTACTTTGAAGTAATTTTAGCTCCTGATGGGCCTAAAGAGGTATCATAAAAAATTTAACCAAGAAAGACAGATCTAAAAACTTAATTATAATGATAGTATCAAGGTTTCCTGGCACAAAGGTGGAAAGCAGAATGAGGCTGAGGAAGACTTGCCCATGTGCTTTGGCAGAGCTCAGCCCCTCAGTATGGACTCCAGCATCTCATGAAGATGTCCTGGGACAGGGATGGACATTCAGTCTGAAAAACCTCCTGAAAGGTTTATCCACCACTTCCACTGAGGGGATGGAAGCAGAGAGGAGTATCTATGAAATGAGAAACCACCTTGCTCTTTTCATCTCAGCCACATTCATGTGAATCTGTCAAGGACAGTAGCACCAAGGAGAAAGACATGGAAGCTGCATTAAACCATCAAGAAAAAAACTCCATCATAGCTCAGCACTGCTTCCACAACATGACATCACCCTGAGCGTAATTGGTGAGATGCTTGCAACAGCATTGCCAGGGGATTAGATTTAAAACTTTGTATAATAGTTTGAAGGGATGTTGAAGTGCTTTTGTAATTCAAGGTACTAACAGTTTCTCCCGTTTAACACCAGGTTGTTCAGATGGTGTACTCCTGGAGAGGAGACATGAGCTAACCTTGGTAAACAGAGAGATAGTGGGATTTACTTTGAATTTAAAATTTCTAGTACGCATTAATTAGCCTGTCTAAAGATCATTCCTTTAAGTGAGATGGTGAGTTCCTAAGAAATATTACTATATATTTGAGTAATTCTTGAATGGCTTCTTTAAGTAACCGCATATGAATAATTTCTTAAGAATCTGAAGACGTATATATCATTTAACTTGAAGAGTTTTTTGCAGGCAGTGGTTGTCCCTGACAAATGTAACACTCAAGTGAAATTCTCTCCCCCTGCCTGCCAAATGCTGTCTGTGTTAAAACCTGTGTGTGTCATATATACTTAGCAAGGTGCTCAGGTGATGTTAAGATCCTTCCCCCTTCTATATTCAGTTGCTTTAACCTTGGGTGGAGATGTAAAAATGATGCTGAGAGTCCAGTGGTTGAGTTCAGAGGAGGTGTTTCAGTTCAGGTCCCTGATGCATGTATCTAACTTCTGTGTGCTCCCAGTGACTCCTAGTGATCAGCAAGAAACACACGACTGAATCATGCCAAACATGTCCCTGGATTAAATTAGAGAGAAACAAACACTGACAAGTTCAGACCTGTTGTTGCAATGTCTTTTCTCCTCAAACTTGTTCAGTAGCTCTAGGGATGCACTTAATGGGTGCTCAGCCTCAGCTTTCCCATATGCTGTGTTTATGATGCTGACTTTGTCTATATTGTTTGAAATAGAAAAGGCTTAATGAGTGCAACAAATACCTTCTTTAAGTTGTTGATTCAAACATACAGCAAGTCAACCTGTTTAACAAGGGTGTTTAAAAAGTTTTCTTAATCTGAGAAGTGCATCATGATGAACTGCACTAGTGTTTGACACCAATATTTTAGCCAGTTTATGTGAAAATTGCTTCTATAAGAGATTCATGGCAGCAGTAGAAATTTAAAAAGGCAAATGACATTTCAGATTTCTAACAATTCTGAGCAGAGATCATTGCAGAACCTCTGTCTGTACATCTGGTCTTCTCTATGGCTTCATCTGTTGTTTCCCAGCTTACAGCTTCACATCAGTGAAAATGGTTTTGCTTTCTTCTCATTTTTGACAGGGTTTACTGGACTTGAAGAGTAGGTTTGATCGCTTCCTTCAAGAATCTTTCAATAACGACCGGCTCTTCAAGCAGACGATTGCGGGTGACTTTGAGTACTTCCTCAACCTCAACTCCAGGTCTCCAGAGTACCTCTCATTATTTATTGATGATAAGCTGAAAAAGGGAGTCAAGGGAGTAAGTATAAATCAGCTCAAAATATCATGCTTTTTGCTCTGTAAACTTGGATGGAATTAAACTAAGCTACTTTTCTAAGAATTATTTTTGTATTAAGAGAAATGATAATTTTACCTTCAAAAAGGTGTATGTAAGACATCTGAGTTCATAACACTTTAAATCTAAACTTACAGAAAAATCAGGCATAAAGAGATCTCTGTGGCTTGTCACCTACCTCTGAAGCAGCATATCTGAACTACTTATAGCAATACTGTCTCAAAAAACAATCAGGTTATGGTAGATTCTGCAGCTCCCTTCTTTTGAAACCTTACATATCATTTCCTTAAGTATATTCATAGTTTGGCAGCTATTCTCATTATCTAATAATTTCTTCTGAAAATTAATTTGGTTAGAGAAAAGGATTTGTCTTTGCTGCTTTTTACTGTTTTTATATACCAGAGAACTATTACCATATCTGTATTCTAGTTCTGAGTACATCTGTTGCCTTCAGACTTGGCTTCTTTCATGACATTTTCTGAGGTACAGAATCCAGACTGGACAGGATGGTTCACCTGCGGCTTCAGTTACTCTAAATAAAACTTAGTATTAGAGCATACAACTTATGCTTTGGGAATCAAATAGTAAATTCTGGTTTTTTATAAAACAAAATATAATTTTATTTGTGTGGCACTAGACAGGCTTTGCAAAACATGTCTTAACAGTTAAAAGCTTTCATTCCAAATGAACTTTTCTACTCCTAATACTGATTTCTCTCATGCTGTTTTAAGCTTACCCAGGAACTTTTACTGTATTTATCAAATTCTGCCCATTCATTGTTTCCCATTTCCCTTGCCTTTCCCTTCATTTTAGATCTATTTCTTACTCCACTTTATTGTGTTAGTGCACTGTTCTTTTGGCTGTCAATCATATATTGGAGCAGTTTTGTTGGCTACTGTTAGACCATCTGCTGCTGTGAATTACTTTAAGCACTTAGGCTGTGTAAGACACTTGGGCTAGAAAATTAAACCAAGAAAATTACTTCTTTTACAGCTAACAGAGCAAGAAGTAGAAACTATATTGGATAAGGCAATGGTTTTATTCAGGTTTATGCAAGAGAAAGATGTTTTTGAACGCTATTACAAGCAGCACTTGGCAAGAAGACTTCTCACAAATAAGAGTGTTTCAGATGACTCTGAGAAAAATATGATCTCCAAATTAAAGGTAAGACAGTACTTGCATACTTTTTAGGGGTTTTTCTTTCTTTTTTTGTTTTTTCATAATTATGGTTTCTTCTGGTTTTGCATGAGACGTATAGATAATGTCGGTCTTGATGGCTGCTAAATGCAGAGCTGATTTTGAAAGCCCCAGCAGAAAATACAAATATTTTTTTCAAAAGTTTTCATGGAAATAAAAGGAAGCACTGAAAAGCCCCTGTGATGGGAGTGCAAGTTTTTCAAAGGTTTTCATGGAAATAAAAGGAAGCACTGAAAAGCCCCTGTGATGGGAGTGCAATCTAGAAAACCTTTTTTTTTCCTAAGTTTTTAAATAATAGGACAACTGCAGTGACTGAATTTGAAGACTGTGTTTTGTCCTGGATTTTCCATTATTCACAGTACAATTTTGGTATCACTTGTGTTGATGTTTAGTTGTCTCCATCAGCAGACTGGTGATAATGCTCAATTCCTTGTTGATTAAGTGGTTGCAAAAAAAAAATCTTCATATCAGCCTTTAGAAACACATTTTCCTTAGCTGGGTAAATAGAGCAAGAGATGAAGAAGAAGGTAAAGCCTATTGTTGAACAGACTTTAAATGAAGTTCTATTGCAGCTTCTTCTCAAGTTGCATGATAAACAATTAGAGCACTTCTGAAGCAGAAGCAAACTGCACTGATGCTTATTTTTGAACTTCATAACTTCATCAGTGAGCCAAGCCCGTTTGTATCAGATTTCTCCAGATTTCTCAGTATTAATTCCTTCTCAATTACCTCTCCACCACTTTGAGCCTGATGGTTCAGAAAGCACAGGGCACACATGCATTTCCAGGTGAATGAATGCACATGAAGTGCCCTCTTTTCTTACAAACTGCAGAGTGGTCAGGATGCTGCATCTAGCAGGCTTCCCTTGCCATGCATTCACAGTATGTGTTAGAAACAGGCACACAGCCCTGCCTGTGCACCTCTGTCCGTGTGCAGGTGTTCCTGATTCTCACAAGGCCTAGGGATCTTGCTGGGTAATCTGCAGTCAGCCTTCAAAATAAAACACTTCTAGGACAACAGGAGTTCCTAGTATAAATAGGGTTCATTCCCCTTTACAGAATTGTGCTAAAAGCAGGTGAAAGTGCATGTCTTGATTTGATAAGCTTTCACAATTTTTTTAATATGATATAGAAATCTAAGATAAAAATAGAGTAATGGAGAGGCGGAAAGCAAGTTATGATCTGTGTAGGGTTAGATCTTCGTATACTATAGGAATCTTTTCTGAGATTTCTGAATGTAATACAAATGGAAATTCCAGTAACCAAAAGTACAGAAATGCCATTTTGGGGATTTATAAGCTAACTTTAGCCTTGCAGTTTGCCTGTCAGAAGCTTTGTTTTCATAGTGCTGGTACAACATATTTTTTTTGTGTGGTTTTAGACTGAATGTGGATGTCAATTCACATCGAAACTGGAAGGAATGTTCAGGGACATGAGCATCTCAAACACAACGATGGATGAATTCAGGCAACATCTTCAGGCGACAGGGGTAAGTGCTGGGGTCTGTGTGCTTGACCTTTTGCTTCAGTACAAACCCTGCACGTGTCCACACCTGTGCTTGTTCATTTGTTGGTAGATGCACGTGCTGAGAAGGACTTGGTCAGCTTGTGCAAATTGTTCCTTTTTTTACTGTGTGTCTTATCTTATAAACTGTATCAGCATTTCCTGAAATGCCAGAGTCGGCTGGGACTTCCATGCACAGCTGGAGAACTTCCATGCCAGTTCCATTCCATGAAATGTGTGTTCCATTCCATGAACCCGCGTGTCACAGGGGCTGGGCCGTGGCCGCTCAGCGGCTCTGCCGGCCGGCACCGCCAGGGGACGCGCGGTGCCCGGCCCGCTCCCGAGTGCATTGCCCAGCAAAGCCTCCCCTTCTCCAGGGTTAATCAGTCAGTTGTGGTGTGGATTTTTTGCTAAGAGCAAGAAAAATGCTGCAGGCATTTGCAAAGCACACCATCTCATGTTGAGCTTTCCTGATACAATTAATGCCTTTGCTGAAACTGCTGTTTTATTGCAAATTTCAGAATTTGGTTTTTGAAGTGTTCTTGCAAATTGGTTTAGTTGTTTAATTAGAAAAAATACATCTTTTTGTAAAAGTAGGCCCCTGGAACATTTTAGGGAGACATCATTCTTTTTGAGATATCAATTTACTTGTTCTAAAATATTATTTTTCTGTACTGATATTCAGAGCACTTACTAGTGTATAATAAACAGCCAGGTAGTTCCCTGTGTGCAGGTAAGTAGGGTCAGTACATCAAATCTGTTGGAGTCAGTTTCAGAAGTCTGAATGCCAGGAGTATTTTCATGGATATACTCTGTCCAGTGTCCCTGGTTGTACAAGGTGATATGAAATCTTTGTTGTCTTGAAGCAGTTGACTGAAATCCTTCTCATCAGCATTCTGTGACTCATCATGAGGAGAACAGCATGTTCTCTAAGGGGATTCAGAAAAGGATGGAGAGGAAGTGGATAAAGGTGTTTTTGGACAGGCAGCTTTACTACTGGATGTTTGGTTTCTCTGCTTTAGAGGCTAGTCATGTTTTGCTTTCGGAATGCTTGAAATATAAATTTCAATAAAAATTTGTTGAAGTATTCCCTTTTTTTGGTAGCATGGCAGGCTTGGACATGTAGGGAAAGATGGGGCTGTGCTTTAAGATTCATGTACTTTATGTGACAGTCTTAAAATAAGTGAGTTAATAAATGATATCTCTATCTTGTTTTTTTTTGCTATGTACAGCTAAGATGATGAATTTAAAATGCTAACAGATGTTCTGTTAGGCTTTATTTGAAACTTCATCTTTCTCTTGGCAAGACACCAGCAGTTCATGTGATGGTTTCCTTGTGGTCAGCCTAATTGTGGACTTTTAATAAAATTTCCAGAAGTACTATTTAGGAAATACAGGAAGATTTGGGGGATTTTGTTACTGTTAAATTGCTGGTTATACTGTGTTTTATATGAAGTAGTTTGTTCTGCTCCTTTTTAAACAGTTTCAGTACCTTCAATGTGTACAGTGCCTCCTAGAGGTGTCAGACATCTGCTTTTCTCACAATAATCCTACCTGCAAACTTTCCTTCTGGATCCTCTATCCTGACATCTAGGCAGTGCCACGGTCTGTGTAGATGATTGGTTTGCTCTCAGAAAGTGGGGAGCTCAGCACCAGGGAAAGTCCAGGCTCATAGATTGAGAAATTTCTGTAACTGTGATCCTGGACCATTTCTTGGAGTTCTGTAAAGACTGGGTCACTTCAGGGCACTTTCTACTAATTCATACCATTTTCATGCTGAAAAGACATCTTAGAAAATAAAGTGCTTCCAAAACTTTTTTGTGTTACCAACTGCTTAGTGCTTGTAGTATATGATGGGAGGCATTCTGAATTAGTGCTGTGTTCTAGTCTGGCAAAGGCCAAAAAATTTTGGGACATTGTTGCCATCTCAGCTCAAATGTTTCAGTTCCAGGTAAATATATTTTCTGTATCATTTTGTCTGCACTGATGGCCTTTTCCCACACTTTGGCTGGAGGAAGAAAACTGCTGAAGCTTGTTTAGGTTTGTCAGAAGTTTCCTGGGCACAAGCTGGTTGGTGCACACAGGCATTCAGTACACACAATACAAAAACTCTTCTGTAGTGCACGGGAATGCTACTCTGCTATTGAATAGTGAAAGTTTGAGTTCAGGTGGCAGCTTTGGATCTTCTAAAACATAATGTGCTCTATTTCTGTGTAGTAGATTTATAGAAGTTGAATATTGTTTGTTTTGGTTTTTTGTCCATAATGTGTGCTCTTTGAAGGTATTGGTTCTACCTCCTAAAGCTGAAAGAAGTCAATTTTAAGCTTAATAATGCTCAGCTTAGTTGGAATATCTAATGAGGATTATGCATCACTGGTAGCCAGACCTTTATCATCTGCCAACACATCTTTATAGATCAGCACTTGAGCTGGGAAATGTTTCCTCACCAGGGCTGAATACTCAGTCATGGCTGTCCTTAGGGAGAGAGGATAGGTGGGCTGTGCAAAAATGAGTACTGCTGGCATTGCAGTCCACAGATAAGCTCCCTATGGTTCAACATCAGGTAGTATTTCCTCTCTACTTCCAGAGAATACATTTACAAAGAGTTCTTTTGAAACTGACATGTTTCATGCAACCCAGCTTTATTGCATGTCATCAAAAAACCCATTTACAAAGATCTGTTGTGCGTGTCACAAGTTCTGTTTATGATCACAGACACTTAGTTCTTGATTAAGAATTCCTTTTCTTCAATTCTGTATGCTCTTAAATGCCAGAGGGGAATAATGTAGAGGATTTTTGCTGTACCATCTGCTCTGATAGTGATGAATCAATGTATTTGTCTGGTTTTATAAAAAGAATGTTTACAGATATGTCTATTTCTTTTGTAGTTAGACAAAATTCTAGGTATTTGACACTGATACAGACAAAATGGTGAAACATAGTCTTGTTTTAAAACAGTGTATGTTTTCTTCCAATTACCCTTAGGTCTCACTAGGAGGTGTTGATCTCACAGTGCGTGTCCTCACAACAGGTTACTGGCCTACCCAGTCAGCCACACCAAAGTGCAACATCCCTCCAGCTCCCAGACATGCTTTTGAAATATTTAGAAGGTATGTATTACTGCAGATTTTTAGGTAGAGGTTTAAGAAGAAACTTTCTAAACTTACCTGTACAGATTTTTTTTACCTGCACAGATGGTTTTTTTACAGCTTTGCTGTTAAAGTTGTGCTGGCAAACTGGTTTTTTTTCAGTTTATGTGAAAATTGGAGAATGCAATACTTGCATTATGATGCTTGAGGTTTTTGGAGATTTTAAATAGAGTTCTGAGAAAAGTTAATGTTTTGAAAAAGCAAAAGGTTATAAATTATAAATGTTTTAAGGATGTCCTCAATAGCTCCAAAAGGCTATGTAACTTTTAAAATGTATTTCCTCTTCAGTACAAAATGTGAGCTATATATTGTTCTCATTTCAATTCTATTACAGATTTTATTTAGCCAAACACAGTGGGAGACAGCTGACACTCCAGCATCACATGGGTTCTGCAGATCTCAATGCCACTTTCTATGGGCCTGTGAAAAAGGTAGAGAATCAAGATTATATAAATATTGTATCTTTTGTTAAAAGTAAGCAAATGCTTTTTTTTTAATAACTTCAGACTTTTGTAAAATAAAAGCAAACCCATTGAGAATGTAAGAATAACAAAAAGATACCTTCCATCAGCCTTATAGTCTGATTCTTTCTGTGCAGTAATTTTGTTTTGACATTTTTTTCCCCTCTGAATTTAGTTTGAATGCATCAATCATCATCATCTTTTACTTGTAGAAAAGTAATAAAAGTGATCTTGAAGGGACCTCAGTCATTTGAGTGATTTGGATTTTTTTGACTGTCAGTGAAAAGTGAAAAGAAACTTATTATTTGTTTTTGCTAAGCCAAGTTTAGCCTGCTTTTCATGTGCACAGTGCAATGTAAACAACATTTTTCTCAAAAACAAGACTCCAGCAGAGTTTATAGAAGTACAATGCTTAATTTATGTGTGTACAAGAAAGGAATTTTGTAGTGATTAGACCAGTACTAAAATGCTAAGCTAGAACTAGTTAATGTCGTTATGTTTGGGAATGTAGGAGGCAATGCAAATTGAAAGTAAAATTCTTACCACAAACTGTTAATAACATGCACTTGTGAGGATGCTGAAATTGTGTTACTGTAGGATAAGTATGTTGATAACTTTAAAGATAAGCTTAGGAAAACTTGAAGGGTGGACTAATGATGGAGCAGGGGCCTCAGAGGTGGTGAAGTCTCCATCCTCAGCCATGGTCAGTGTTTGGTTGGTGGCTGTAGATGGCCTGGTCTGGGCTCTGTATGAGCCTCCAACTCATCCTCCCTGGCACTGTAAGGGAGCTGCTGGAGGAGCATCCCGGCCATGCCCCCAGGTGTTTGCTTTTCTGTCACTTCTGTAGGCTGATCACCTAGAGAAATGTTTCATCATGAAACTTCCATCTTATCAGAATAAAACATCTTTCACTGAAGAATAATCTAACAGTAGTTTTTGGAATTTTAAAATAGGAAGATGGCTCAGAAGTTGGTGTAGGAGGTGCCCAAGTAACTGGCTCAAATACACGGAAGCACATATTGCAAGTCTCCACTTTCCAGATGACAATATTAATGCTATTTAACAACAGAGAAAAATACACATTTGAGGTAAGTCTGTCGGTTTCTTACCTGATTCTAACTAACTGGTTTGGACACTTTCTTGTCCTCCTGAGTTAGGCATTTGAAGATCAGGTGCCTCTCATTCTATTTGAGTATGGATCATGCCAAGCAGATCATTAGCAATGCACCTGATGCAGTTCTAGGGGAGGAAATTATTTGGGAGCTGAAGGTTTCAGAAATGTTTGAGAATTGTGAGTGTGGTTGTTCCAGGCCATTGAGCTGTAGAAAAGCTGAAGTTGAAATGCAGCAGGTGGCTCCATTTCCTCATTTTGTCTTTGAAAAACTGGATTTAGAGGCCAAAGGGTGGAGAAGGGTTTATCCTGGCTTCTTGAATACCTAAGTAAAATTGGCAGGCTGGACCGAGCTGGAGGATGAATCAAAGAACTTTCAGCCCTTCTCTGAGCTGATCAGCCAGAAGGGACAGTGAAAAAGGGTCTGGATAGATCCTTAACAAGGAGACTAGAGGGGTGTTGCTGGGAAAGGTTGAAATGTCTGCTAAAAGATGATGATGAAGAAGGCTTTAGAAGAGGAGGGGGATCATGTGCTTTGTTGTGTGAGCACTATATTGTTAAGGTAAATTGATAGTTTTGTTTTGGACATTATCTTCTGTTTGAGAGAGCATTGGCAGCCTTGAAAAGCAGTATGGATGCAGTTTGAAGCAGTTGATTTCCAGGGTTTCTCATCTGCTTTTGACTGTGCTATGGATAGTAATAATCATTTGCCTTTTTGTTTGGATTGTGTTTTCAGCTTATTTGGCATACTTCTAGCCTGTTAATAAAGAAAGTTTCTTTGAAATGGTCTCAGTAGTGATTAAGGCAGGATTTGATAAGGGACTCTTAATAAATTACTGATAATTTAAAATGTTATTTTAGAACATAAAGTCCTGTGTGTTATGAAATCCATTGCAGGAGCATTACAACTTTTCAGAATATTTGAGTGAGTGAAAACAAGGAGGGGGACTTAACAGCTCTTTTTTCTTGAAGCTGATTTTGAAATTGGGCTAGTAGCTGCCTTTTTCCACCACATTGCAGGCTTAATGAGTAATACAGCTTTAGCCAATATGAATAAATAACACTTGGGAGAACAGTGAAAAATACAGTTTTTAATCCATGCTCTAAATTATACTTTATTTTACCAAGACCAGATGATAGAGAAATATGTCCATCTGCTTTTAGATTGTGTGTTTTGTTTATTTCTGATTTGGGAGTTCTTAAGCTCTTGCTTTGTGTCCCACTTGAACTAAAACATTAAGGAGGCATATTTGTGTTGTTTGGTTTCTTTGGTGAAGTGTGTGTGTTGTCTTTAACCCCAGCCGGGAAAGCGTACGAAAACTTCAGAGGAGAATGAATTTTATCTTTGTTCATTGATTATTGGATACCTGATTAACTGTTGAGTGCTGGGCAACCATTCCTTCTCTCTTGTGTCAGATGGGTGCTTTCAGTGCAGCAGAGCATGTGAGCTGGCTTGTGTGTGCTGGTGTATCCTAAAACTCTTTGATACACAAGTGTTTCTGCAGACTCACAGCTCAACAGATTCATCTGAAGTTGCCTTCACAGCTGAACAGACTTTGCTGTTTTATTTTGCATTCAGTGTGATTATTAATTGCAAACTTTATAAGATCCTCATAATAATCCTAATAACCATTAGGCCATGTGATTGAGGAAACAAATGGGATACTAATAATGCAAAAATTATCCATAAAATACTATGGAAACTTAAAAGGTTGTTGCATAGAAAAATTTCTTCACAAAAATGTATACGTTTATTGTATTTCCATACAGCAACATTTCATTTGTATATGCAAAATAGCTATTGGCCATAGAGGTGAAGGTTAATGCTATTGAAGTGGAAGAGAATCTTCATGCAGGCCTTCAAAGAATGTTAATGTTTTCTACAAATTCATTTTCTAATCAAGTCTTACACTCAACATATTTTTCAGTTGATTTACATTACAGCTCAGTATTTTAAAATGTGAAATGCTCATTATTTGTAATGGCATCAGAAATAATCATGATTCTTTATGTTTAACAAACAAGAAATACAAATGTGACCATAGTAGAAGTTAAGTTGTGGATTAATTCCACAGATATGAGAGATTAGAACTGTAAACTGGAACTGTAAATTAGACTACCTGTTCCCTCTTTTGCTATCTGCTTTGGAAGGTACACAAGTTGTAGTCTGTAAATAAAACTAAAAATTTATTATTTCAACAAAATGACAGTTCTTTTCCTTTGTTTTTTTCTGCACATTTTCCTTCTAATAATCTGTGTTCTTCTATAGAACTGACAGAGTTCCATACCTGGAATGATCTCTTTTGTAGCCCCCAGACAGAGCTCTCACTTGGTAATATTTTAACACTGACATTGTGTAATCAGTACTACTCCTGTGCACAAATCTAATGTGTTTTATAAAAATAAGGCATTTTTGGAGATGGGGAAGAAGTATACATTTCTCACTGCTACATCAAATATCTACATAAAAATATGTTCAGGAAAACATTATGCTACAGGCTGAGGGAAAGAGAGCACAGGAACATCTGTTATTCCCATTTACATTCATAGCTGCATTTTTTTAATTCAGCTTGAAAGTTTTGGCTCCTTCTGAGGCAGCATATTGCAGTGCAATTATTTGTGGTCCTTACTTTAATGCTGGGTTGTAAACTCTAAAAGTGAAATGGTTCAAGTGAAGTGCAACAGCAAATAGACAGTGGTTTATATAAGGATGGGTAGCATGAAACCCCTCAAATTCCCTTTTGCTGTTTGTTTCACTTTTGTTAAAAGCAGAGTATATATACATGGCCTTGTAGAACTGATGTAATTTTGAAAGGATTCATTTTAACTGTTGATTAAAAACCAAAGTTTGGGAGCCTGCATGTCACTGGCATTACATCATTAATAAGCTATGTTTGGGTTGTAGTCTTTAAGGCTTTTTATTTATCTGAGCTCTGAACTCTTGCACTTTCCCTTGGTTTGGTAAGTTTTATACTGATCAGTCCATTACAGTAATGTTTTTTGTTGTTATGACCATGTAAAGGATTATAGCTTCTTGGGATTTTTAAAAATATTATTTTGCACTGAATGTGAAAAAAAAAGTGTGAAGGTGACAACTGTGTTTTAAATAAAGCAGCAAAGGAAGAAATAGTAACTTTCTGTGAGCAGCTTGGGAAGAAGCATTTTGATACTAGTAAATAGTTAAGTTGTGAATATCCACATAATTTGTTTCAAATGGTATAAGTGTTTCTGAATGCATTATGCTTCCTAAGAATTCTCTTAGGAACATATTAGTGTTTCCAAATAATCTATAACCAGAAGGTACCAAAAATCCTGACTTTTTTAAATTTTTGCTGAGTGATTTTATTCTTTTTAAGTCATTCCAGTTCACTTGACCTTATGTCAAAAACAGTTTTGCATGGCTCCATGTTGAGTCATCACTCTGTGTGTAGTGTTGGGTCAAGTTGAAAAATAATGCTTAATTTTGTCTGAGCCGGGTAGTGAGGTGCTGTGCATGAGGTGCAGTCCAGTTCCTGGTAAGTCTGAGTCAAAACCAGTACATCCAATCATTTTTATTGTATGTTGTCAGTGGTGCCTGATGACAGAAAAGTGGCTGTTTTTTCTGGGTTGATTTAAGAAATAACTTGAGTATACTCAAGAAATATAATTATTTGATAAAATTTAGTTGGATTTTTCTGGTCACCCTTTAAAGAACTTTTAACAAGTTGTTGTAGTTTGCACATCTTAGGATTTTGATCACTTGGAGTTCTTACTGCTGGTTTTAACCTGAGGTCATCACATGGACTTGTGTGCCACAAGAATCAGGAATTTATGGGGACAGTGGAACCAAAGTTGGGGAAGCTGAAAGCTTAGAAAGGGATAGCTCTTGTGGGCAGCTGCATGTCTGCAAGGTTTGTTTTTTCTCTTTAGTTGTACAAGTCTCTCAGGAGTCTGAATGGGAATATGAAATCAGAAGTGTCTGCAGTTTCCTCGGGCTAGAAGTAGGAAGAAAAGAGATGAGAAAAAATGAACTTTTACTGAATGGGAGCTCAGGAAATACATTAGGTCTGAGACAGCAGCACAGTTGACTTTCTCCTAGAGCATATCAAGGCATCATTCTGTATCCAGTGTAATTTATTTACTAGCTCATGACCACTGCTGATGACAGCACTGACAGAGGTTCACCAGTTTGTGTACATGTTTTACAAACAGTCTTCTTCCAAGTTCTTATGTTGGCCACGCTATAATGAGCTCTTTTGTATTTCACCTGGAGAAGTCCTAGCCAAAGGCATCTGGGCTGTAAATAAATTGTTGGAGCTATTCAGAAGGGAGGTATGATCTAGAGTATTTGTATGCTACAGTGAAACCAGACGTTGCTTGCTCCATTTGTAAAGATCTTTTAAACAGTGTGGCTGAACACAGAAGTATTTGTGCAGCTCTTGGTCAGGAATGGTCATGAACAGCATGGATGCTTTCCATCACTGAGTTAGTCAGAAGGTTTGGTTTCACCCTCTTCAACACACCCTGGAAACAGTTAACAAATCCTTTCAGCCCTCTCAGCAATTGCAGGGAGATGGAACAGCTGGCTATTCATTCTTCTCCTTGCAGCTCATGGTGACTGTTCTGTGAGAGAATTTGCTGAGTGCTGACCCGGGTGGATCATTTTGCACAGTACCCACTGAGACCTTGCTGCTGAATGAGTTCTGACCTTCCAAGTGCCACAACTGTCACAGTATTACTTTTAAGCAATTTGTGCAATACACAGTACCTCTGCCACAGCCATAAGCTAACGAAGTATTCTTCTTTAGGAAATTCAGCAGGAAACTGACATCCCTGAAAGAGAACTGGTTAGAGCCCTACAGTCCCTTGCATGTGGCAAACCAACACAACGTGTTCTCACAAAAGAGCCCAAGTCAAAAGAAATAGAAAATGGTCATATATTTACAGTGAATGATCAGTTCACATCTAAACTACACAGAGTCAAGATTCAGACGGGTAAGTCAGCCTTATATTCTGCTCTCTTGCAGTCCCAAATCTGCGTTTAAACTTCAGATTATCTTTTGCAGGATTGATGTCCATGGAGGTAAAAGGAGAATTATTTTTTTCTTGGTGCTTATTTGCATGGAAATGAAAATTCAAATGGCAAGAACACTGTGGAAGTCAGTTAAGCCTTTTACTTGACAAAATTTGTAATTATCTCTTACAGGAAATACTGAAAGAAAAATAAAATTCAAATTAAATAATAAAATGAAAAATATGCTACTGATTGATTCAGAAATAGGAAACTTGCCGTATAAGTTGCTGTACTGCAGTGAAATGAGTAATGTTTTTAGCCCATAATACAACAGCCATTTTCTAGTACCAGGTAGCTTATCATGGTTTTGGGCAGTGATGTGGGTTTAACAAATAAGGGAAGCTGAGTGTATAATAACCACTTCATTAGCTTATAGAAGTGCTGGTGCTTGTGCCTGTAAGCAGATTTGAGTACTGTTCAAACTTTAACATAGTCATAATTAAATAACAGTTTGTTATCGTGTCAGTTGCTATCAAAATATGCCAGAAAGTGTTAGTATGTTCTTGTGGCTGCTTTTCATTTTTAAAAAAAAAATCAACTTTGAAAATGTCAAAACTCGGGAAAATATAACTTGATGTCTAGATGAAATAAATAGTGACGCTAACACACAATGAAATACATTTTAATTTTGCTAACATAATTTACATTATCTGTTTTCTTTAAGTTGCTGCCAAACAAGGAGAATCTGATCCAGAAAGGAAAGAAACAAGGCAGAAAGTCGATGATGACAGAAAACATGAGATAGAAGCTGCTATAGTTCGGATAATGAAATCTAGAAAGAAGATGCAACACAATGTGCTAGTAGCAGAGGTATGCTAGTACAGAGTTTTGCTTTTGCTATTATCTCATTAAAGTTACACAGCTCTTACTAACATGATTCTGAAAGGCTTTTGAGAGATGTTGTATTTAACCCATCCTTTCTTTTCTCCATGTCTGTCTGAAGACACACCTAAATCCTTCCCTTTACTTTAGCATGTACTCATGGGTGTATCTAGTTTTCCTTCCTGCTTTTAGTGCTGTTATGATGTTAAATTGCTTGAAAAGCAAACCAGTTGCTTTGATCTTGTTACTGACTGTTGGGTCCAGGCTAGAGAGATTTGAGCTCTTAGCAGAGAAGCAGTCCTGCTGCTTTTCACTGCTAAGCTCACACAGCTCCAGGACATGACACATTTTGCACTCCTGAACTCCCTTAGAGCTGTGAAATTGGGAGCATTCTCAGGTTGTGACCATGCCTCTATGGAGCTTTGAATCATACCCCAACATGAGCAAGCAAGTGGAGGGACTGTCAGAAGTCTGCAGGCTGCTTTTTATGCTCCATAGTTGTCACCATCTCTGCCTTAATACATTTTTCTGTTTGTTGTGTTCTGTTAGGGTACTTCAGGTTCTTCCTTGCGCTGTGATTTTATATTGTTGGGTTTTATTTTGTTGTAGGTAACTCAGCAGCTGAAGGCCCGATTCTTACCAAGTCCAGTTGTTATTAAAAAACGTATTGAAGGACTTATTGAGAGAGAATATTTGGCACGAACACCTGAGGATCGCAAAGTATACACTTACGTAGCATAAAATGCGTTCAGAAAATTTGATTTATTCTTGGACTATACTCTTCGCATGAACTGGGAAGTTCTTTTAAATCATTAATATTAAGACGACCATCTCCTCTATTAAATTACAGTACATGTTCTAGACCATTCAGATCAAGCCTTTTACTCCTTTTGAGAGTTTTTGACATGAATTAATTGAGCTTCAGGCTTTTCAACGTTATCCCTGTAGAGATCATCCTTACAATTCTTCGGGAAAATGTGAATGTGCCGCGTTTGTTTTCAATACTGTATGAAAACAGAAATAAAAATGACTTTAGAAAATACAGCTCATTTAAAAAAATAAATTTGTTGGAATTTCATTTCCCCAGATCTTCAGTGTTGATGTAAATGTGTTTCTGTAGTGTTGCTTAGCACTTCGCGCATTGTATAAGTTGGGTTTAAAAGAAACCACGAGTGGTAAGGCAAAATTCCCACTTACCTTGCTCTGCTTCAAATGTTTTTTTAACTAGACATGTTTAATTTAAATACTTGCTAATTTTTTTGACGACCCAAGAAGACAACTTGAGCATGCTTCACTCTTCCAGCTGCACTCACTGCTCCAACAACATGAATCAGGAACTTCTGGGGGCTCAGAAAAGACCGTAATAATTTTGGCTTTCCCTTCTGTAATTTGAGTTCTTCTAAATTAAACTCTATATTGATTAGGTTTTTTCTGGTTTCTTTATAGGAAAAAGGACAAGATTTTAGTGTGTATAAACTGTATAATAATTTTTGCTGTTGTACTCACTGCTGATGGTGGATTGTACAGGGCGATGTTTTTATTTCACTAAATGTAGACAAAATAAATTTAAAATAAATGGATTTAGTGTACACAAACAATTAATTCAAGTGTGTTAGAGTACAGGGTTGACAATCTTTTGGAACTAAATACTGTCCCCTGGGGAAATACTGGGATTATATTTTGTTAATAAACATCATAGATGGAGCTGTAGCCCCAGGGCTTCCCATCATAAATGCATATTTCAGGAGATTAAAGTGAAGCCAGCGTGCACTATTTGTTTTTAAAAATGCATTTTAAACCTGCAATAAAAAATTGTTACTGTAATGAAATTTTTAGTTCTTACCCTGAAACTTTTTTTCTTCTTGACAGTATGCTGCAAAAAATAGATTAAAAATAGCAGTTTGGTGGCATCATTCTTCTCACAGTTAGAAATTTTTGAGTGTGTGTGAAAAACACCAATCATTTGTTTTTGAAATTTTTAAAGTTTAATAGTAATAAAATGGTTATAAAAATAGTAATATAATTAGAATAATAAAATTTAAACATTTGAGATTAGGACAATATGAGACAATAAAAACAAAGAGATACGGATGTCCGGGTACCTTTTTCTGGGCAACACAAGCCCGAAACAGGACACCCATTAACAGAGGATTAACCCTTAAAAACAATTGCCTGTTGCATATTCATACATCTCATACATGATGCATAAATTCCATTCAAACACAGGATTCTGTCTGGCCACTGTCAACTTCTTCCTCTGAATCCTCATGCCGTCTTCCTGTCTGAGCGAGGTGGGAAGAAGTTAATTTTCTGCTGATAAGGGAGTAATAAATTCCCTTTCTCTGAAAGATTTAGGTGTCCTGTGGCTTCTATCTGGTGCGAGCCCTTTCTTAAACAAATATCTTGCATAGCATAGTTTCTATTTTAACATTGTGTTATAACTTAAAACTATATTAAATACACTACTTAAGAAAATTAATATAGCATAATACAATATTCATTTTAATACTTGCGAAAAGCCAATCATAAAATACACATTTTTCACAGTGTGCATTGTACTTCAGTTTTTATTAAACCGTATTTCTGACATTCCAGTGCACATATTCTGTGCTTTCCCAGCCATAACTATTTTTCTGCATTAATTCAAACCAGTATTTTTTGTCTTAGTTCACATTGCTTTCACCCATAGGTCTTGAAAAACATAGTGGGATGGGCTTTCCAATATGAAGAGCTGGAAATGAAGAAAAAAGAAAAGCTTGGTTACAGAGCATCTTCCAGAGCAGTTCTTGATGGGCTCTGCTGAACAAGTGCGTGGTGCTGGTGCAATGTTCCAGTGTGAGTGGAGAGTGTTTTTCACAATGTGTCACAATTTTACCCCTCTCCAGCCTGTTAAGGTACAAGTCCTGGCTGTCGTTCAAGAGTAGCATATTTCTTCTGAAGAGAGGGGCTGGAATTAGGATGATATTTTAGCTTGACTATTTGGAAGCTTTTTTTATGAAGCTTTAAGTTTACTGCACACCTCCAACACACCTACGCACACACACGCAGAGTAATTTTTGAATCAGCAGAAGGAGGTGGTGGCTGAAGAACTTTCTTGCCCTTGTTCATCAGGAATTTACCCCAAAAGAAATGAGCTGGGCCATTGGCCCTATTGAAAAGGTGTTTGCTGGCTGTTACTAAACGCCTCTCTTTCTGCACAGGGTATGCAAATCTTCAGTAGAGATGTGGTCATTGTTTAGGCAGTACAACAGTACTAAATACAGCTGATCTGGGGTTTTGATTTTGTTTGAAGTCATCAGAAACATCTTCCTCAAAATGTAAACCCATGTACCAATATGAAGGTTTTCTTTTATGTATAACTGACTCTTTATAAGCATTAACGTTGTGATATTGCATGTTAATGTTTTCCCATGTGCTTTGCAGGGAGGAATGGGTTCAGGTCCTTTTCCCTGTGAAGTTTACAGAGACATGAGTGTTGTGATTTGGGACAGGAGGTCTTTGTCCTGTGCAGTGCCTCTGTACTTCTGTTGTACATCAGCTGAAGCTTCCTACTTCTGGTGGCTTTTGGAAGGCAGAGGCTGAATGTTGTGTGAATGATTGTATAATTAGGTGTTGAAGAGTGTGTTTTTAAAAGCTGTGTGGGCAAGAGTGTTTGCCAGAAGAACAGCAGGTGATGATGGCTGTCTTCAGAAGAAATATTAAGAGCTTAGTTTCCATTTTAATAGAATTTTGAAGACACTATTCAGGAAGAGACTTCTGCTGAAGTCAGATTTCAAAAATATGCCCTTTGCCATTGAACATGAGGTAGAGGATTGAAAAATGGAGAATGTGAAAGTTCTGGTAAGAGACAAGAAGACAACACTAGGACTGTGCTTAAGGTGAGTTTGATGTTTACATGTTTGTATGTTAGTGGGATTTCATTTACAATCTATAGTAGAATTCTGCTAAGCCTTATCTAATTTCAGTTCTTCCTTAATATCTACTTAAGGATTCTTTGTAATTTTGTTAAAATTTCATTAGTAGGATTACATGTGTGAGTGCAATTATTAGTAAGTTGGGTTTCTTTGCATTAATATACAGCTAAATGCAGTAAGAAGACTTAATAAACATGGAGTTTAATTATTTGGAATTTTTAAAAGTAGGGTTTGAGTTTTATAGCTGTTTGAAGATGTGTCGGTCATTGTTTAGGCAGTACAACAGTACTGAATACATCTGATCTGGGGTTTTGATTTTGTTTAAAGTCATCAGAAACATCTTCCTCAAAATGTAAATCCATGTACCAATATGAAGGTTTTCTTTTATGTATAACTGACTCTTTATAAGCATTAACGTTGTGATATTGCATGTTAATGTTTTCCCATGTGCTTTGCAGGGAGGAATGGGTTCAAGTCCTTTTCCCTGTGAAGTTTACAGAGACATGAGTGTTGTGATTTGGGACAGGAGGTCTTTGTCCTGTGCAGTGCCTCTGTACTTCTGTTGTACATCAGCTGAAGCTTCCTACTTCTGGTGGCTTTTGGAAGGCAGAGGCTGAATGTTGTGTGAATGATTGTATAATTAGGTGTTGAAGAGTGTGTTTTTAAAAGCTGTGTGGGCAAGAGTGTTTGCCAGAAGAACAGCAGGTGATGATGGCTGTCTTCAGAAGAAATATTAAGAGCTTAGTTTCCATTTTAATAGAATTTTGAAGACACTATTCAGGAAGAGACTTCTGCTGAAGTCAGATTTCAAAAATATGCCCTTTGCCATTGAACATGAGGTAGAGGATTGAAAAATGGAGAATGTGAAAGTTCTGGTAAGAGACAAGAAGACAACACTAGGACTGTGCTTAAGGTGAGTTTGATGTTTACATGTTTGTATGTTAGTGGGATTTCATTTACAATCTATAGTAGAATTCTGCTAAGCCTTATCTAATTTCAGTTCTTCCTTAATATCTACTTAAGGATTCTTTGTAATTTTGTTAAAATTTCATTAGTAGGATTACATGTGTGAGTGCAATTATTAGTAAGTTTGGTTTCTTTGCATTAATATACAGCTAAATGCAGTAAGAAGACTTAATAAACATGGAGTTTAATTATTTGGAATTTTTAAAAGTAGGGTTTGAGTTTTATAGCTGTTTGAAGATGTGTAGGCATGTATTTTCCTCATACATGAGTTTATTTAAAAGGATTTACAGTATTCTGCATTTACCATCATTACAAATGTGATAATCCTATGGATCCCTGGTGCACTTCTTGCTCTTTTCCATGTTCACTATCTTTACAGCTTTGATTTACTCGTTGTGTCCCCTGGAATTAATCCATACAATTTCCCCACTAGCTATAGAATAAATGAGTGCCAAGCAGGCAAGGTCTGTGATGTTAAGCTACTCCTGAATGCCATGTCTTTCCTCTTTTCCAAAGACAAACTTTGCTCTGTTGACCCTGAAGCTTCCAATGCAACACAATTTGTTCTACTGCTCATTTAGAATCAGCCATTGGTGTCAGATTTACTTTCCTTCACCCCGTGGAAGTTTTCTTCAGCTGGATGGCTGAAGTATTTTTATTCACATGTATTGCACTCAAATTGTGTAGTTCCTGATGGGTGATACTTGCATACATATACATATGGTAATAGAGCCTTTCATAATGCAGAGTTTTGGTGATAAGCTTGCACAGATATGGGGTTCCAATGTTTTCAGAAGTACCAAAAACTGGAACTAGTGGCCTCTGCGTGTCCAAAACTGGCCAGAACCTCTATAGCTCAATCAAACCTTTGGCTCTGCTTTTTAACTCGTGGTGCTTAGGGGGAGCTCCCCCTTCCAGGGAGCCCTTTAGAGCTCTTTGTTGGTTTGACAGCCTGGAACTGGACTAAATAATGTGCACAGCTGGCATCATCTTGTGTGTGTGTCTGGGACAAAGCTGCATTTCTGTTGATACTCTCATTCTGATAGCTTGAACAGTAAATGTAATAACCACTGTGCTCAGCCCAACATGTGAGTTTAATAGTTCCTCTGTCCTCTGAAATGTTCATTTGAAAAGACTGTAAGATGCAGAACTTACATATCCAGTTGAAAGCTGTATTAAGGTACAGAACAACAGTTCACCCACTTTTC